ATCGGACCCAAACCTAGGAATTGCTAGCACATGTTATTTATTATTATTCTATGAAAAGGATAAATATTAACTGTATATTAAATATTTTATTTAAATAAAAATCTGGGTTCATACTTCTTGATATCGAGCTGTCCGAAGTTGAAAACAAATTCAGACTTAAGAACTGATAGCCCATTTTTCAATATACTACAAAGGATAAAAAAACTGCTTATTAAATACTTTACTTGAAATAAAAAAATCTGAAATCATACTGCTTGATATCGAGCTGTTAAACGTTAAAATCGGACCCAAATCTAGAAATTGCTAGCTCATGTTTTTTCTTATTTTACAAAATTTATGATAAAAATTAACTGTATATTAGATACTTTATTTAAAAAGAAATTGGATTCATACTGCTTGATATCGAGCTGCCTGAAGTTGAAACAAGTCTAAACGTAATAATTGCTAGGTTATGTTTTTGATTATTAGACTACAAAAATTTGGATAAAAATGAACTGTTTATTGAATACTTTACTTGAAATAAAAAAAATTAAAATCATACTGCTTGATATCGAGCTGATCAAAATTAAAATCGGACCCAAACCTAGAAATTGCTAGCTTATGTTTTTTTCTTATTTTACAAAATTTATGATAAAAATGAACAGCATTTTACATAATTTTTAAAAATAAAAATCTAGAATCATACTGCTTGATATCGAGCTGACCAAAGTTAAAATCGATCATAAAACTAGGAATTTTTAGCACATGTTCTCTATTATTACATCTCAAAAATTATTATAAAAATAAACTATATATATATAAATAATTCATTTAAATAAAAAAATGAGAATTATACTGCTTGATATCGAGCAGTTGTCCAAAATTTGTATTAAATCCAGACCAAAAAATTGCTAGCTCACGTTTTTTATTCTGGCAAAATTCTGATAAAAAATAATAAAAATGTAGATATCAAGCTGGCCCAAAACTTTTAGTATTAGTACTCCACGATTGATGCAATAAAAAAATATATGATAAAAATGTACAATTAAAAAATACTTCATTTGAATAAATTATCTATATTAATACTGCTTGATATCGAGCTGAATAAAGTTGGATTCAGGCTTGGAAATTACTAGATCAAGTTCATAATTATTACACCAGAGCTGTCTGAATAATTAATATAAAAATAAACTATACTTGAAATACTTTATTCAAATAAAAAATTGAGAGTTATACTGCTTGATATCGAGCTGCCCAAAGTTGGAATAAGGCTTAGAAATTACTAGATCAAGTTCTTAATTATTGCAACCTAAGAGATACTATCATAATGCTCAAATAAAATCTCAAGGAAAATTCTGGTATCATACTGCTTGGTGTCAAGCTGCCAAATTCGAAATCACGCCTAAAAATTGCTTGCCCACCATCTTTATTAGTACACTACGACTGGCGCATTTTAAAAACCTACGATACGAATAAACTTTATTTAAATAAAAATCTAGAATCATACTGCTTGATATCGATATGGCCAAAGTTGAAATCAGGCCTAGAAATTGATAACACGCGTTTTATTTTAAATCACGACTGGCTAACTTTAAAAAAAAATGATACGAATAAACTTTATTTAAATAAAAAATCAGAATCATGCTGCTTGATATCGAGCTGACCAAAGTTGAAATCTGGCCTAGAAATTGTTAGTTTGCACTCTTTATTAGAAAACTACGCCTGGCGCATTTAAAAAAATTATAATACAATTCTTTTTTGAAAAATTATAAAAAAAACTGCTTGATATCGAACTGACGTAACGCAGATCACACTTTTACCAATTCCGACCATCAACGTTTCCACCACGGTCTATGTTTTATATATTTTTTATAGGATATAATCGGCATGACTTCATGCAAAATGTTAAAACGTATATAATATATTATCATAATATTATATATTCTTGTTTATCATTATTATTAATTAATTAATATCTACGAATAACTTATCTGCCTATTATAAAACGACGTCATAGTCTTCTCAACGCGATTAGAATAGCAAAAAACTATATATCGTCAATATAATATTGTTAATATAATATTGTTTCAATAAAATTCAACAATAATCTAACGTGCAATATAATATAATATAATATAATATAGCTAATTATAATATAATTTAATAAATATAGCAATTTAAACTTTAAGTTTATCGATCAACTTAACGTTAACAGACGTATAATATTAGGTGCTTTATAGTAAATAATTCGCTAAAAACAACTTTTACGAATTTAGGGTGAGGTTGCCTAAGTCGTAGAAAGAAAAATCTTTATTTACTTAACTTCTTTTTTTTAGTTTTATTAAAATCGGTATTTTTACATTTTTCAAAAATGTCGTTTCGGTACGATTAAGGCGCCTAAAAACTATAAATAATTCAACCACGATATCAACTTTTCTTCAAATATGATACAAATAAGCTATACAATAAATGAAAATTTAGAATCATACTGCTTGATATCGAGCTGGCACAAGTTGGAATCAGGCTTAAAAATTGCTAGACAACGTTTTTCATTATTTTGATTTTTTTCATTATTTTTAAATTAAAAAATATCGATTCATACTGCTTGATATCGAGCTGGCTGAAGTTGGAATCAGGCCTAGGAATTGGTAGCCCATGTATTTTATTATTTTGAAAAATTATGATGAAAATGAACTATATATTAAATACTTTTTCAAAATAAAAATACGGAATCGGACCCAGAAATTGCTAGCCCACATTTTTTATTAATAAACCAGGTATATCATTTTTTGAAAAATTATGATAAAAATGAATTATACAGTAAATTCTTTTGAAAAAATATACTGCTTGATATCGAGTTGCCCAAAGTTGGAATCAGGCCTAGGATTGTTAGCCCATGTTTCATATAATTAAGCCGAGGGTGGCGATATATATTAATAAAATTGAAGTATATAGTAAATTCTTTTTTAGAATAAAAAAAACGGTATCATACTGCTTGATATCGAACTGGCAGCAGTTGAAATCAGGCCTGGAAATTGCTAGCCCACTTTTTTATTAATAAGCAAGACATGGCGCGATTTGAAAAACTATGATAAAAATGCATTAAGTATTTTTCAAAAATAAAAAATACGATATCATACAGCTTGATACCAAGCTTGCCAAAATTTGAATCAAGCCTAAAAATTGCTAATCCACGTTTTTTTATTAATAAGCAGGGTATGGCGCAAATTTGAAAAAACTATGATAAAAATAAATTACACAGTAAATTCTTTAAAAAAAATCATACTGCTTGATATCGAGCTGGCCTAAATTGTAATCAGGCCTAGGAATTGCTAGCCCACGTTTTTTTTAATAAGCCGAGGATGACTCTTTTTGAAAAATCTAGATAAAAGATAAAAATGAACTAAATGAACTACTTTTTTTAAATAAAAAATCTGGAATCATACGGCTTGATATCGAGTTGGCCAAAGTATGAAGCAAGCCAAGGAAGTGCTAGTTTACGTTTTTTTATTATCAAACCTAAATAAACTATATATTAAATATATTTTTAAAATAAAAAATATAAAATCATACTGCTTGATATCGAGCTGGCCGCAGTTGTTTGATTTGATTTTGTTAACACTAGGTGCACCTTAAACACTCAGTATTGATACTTTGCTTCGATATTTTTTACTTAGGTACGACTTAGGCAACCTCACCCAACACTTTCCGCATTAGTAAATTCACGTCAAAAAAATATAATAAAATACTAAACATCTCCAATTTTCATGCCTATTTTTTATAGAAATCGATTTTTGAATTCGACCAATTTTGTAAAAAAACTTCTTGTGACTCTTTTAAAAACTTCTTCGTGATTTGATCGATAAAATCGATCGATAAAATTATCAAAAATCGTTCGTGTGCAGCGACACCAGCTCTCGTACTATTGAAAAATAGTAGTAAAGAGCTACACTAGCCTCAACACTATTAGAGACTTTTATATGTGTATTATATATTAACTTGTTAAATATTGTAACAAATTATTTACAACAATACACACTAAGAATAGACCCATTGGTAGGTGATAGTATTTTATTAATTTTTCCAACGTTTTCTATATCTATGTAGAGTTTTGCTCATTGTTATCAAAAATCTGCATCTTTCTATAAATGCTATAATAAATGAGTCGAAGTAGTCAGTCAAAATAATTTACCGATACAGTCTTAAATCATTGAAAAAGCTAAAATGTGAGCAAAATCTTCAGGGAATACATAATACTAAAATATCTTGTTCCAGATAGTTTTCACAAAGTTAAGGGGAATCATTTCGTTTATTGATACTATTTTTGTTTATACGAATGAAACAAGATTCTGTAAAGCGTCTTTGCGATGTATTCGACATGTTACAAAATATTGTAGCATCGTCTAAATTGCAATTTTTTTTATGATTGGTGATATAATTTGATTTTAGACCTACTTTACCCACATAAACAGCATCGCAATCTTTACAATCAGTTTTACTGTACTGTAATTTTGTTTGCTCTGAAGATTTTGCCTCAACATTAAAATTATTATTAAAAAATTTAGTATACATATATATATATATATATATATATAATATATATATATATATATATATACAGTGGTGTTGTGCTAATATTTTTTTTGCCGGAACGCTAAAATTAAAAAACCGGTTCAAAAAAACGGTTCGCATGTTTGTTTCGGTTCCGTTCGAGAAGGAAAGAAACGAAAATCATTACAAAACTCATTTTGTGCACATATATGTATGTTTATTACAATAATACGAAATTTAATAAAAATTAGTCAAATTATAATTTATAAAATTCATTTATTAAATCACTTTCTGTATGAAGTGATTTTTTTTTTAATTTCTTTTGCCGGAACGCGTTTCGGCCCAAAAATGATTTGCCGGAACGACGTTCCGGCGCGTTTCGGCCCGACAACACCAGTGTATATATATATATATATAATGAATAAAAATTAAACCTGTGATTTTTTTACCAACTAATCTATTCTAAGCTCGTTGAGAAAGCCACAAGCGTGCCCGACACCTAGAATTCGAGGCGATAAGCCGAACACGATGTCTCGTGATCTTGCAGGTTGATGGTGCATCTGGAAGCCGAAGGCGAAAGATCTATCCTATTTTTAACAAGCAGATCTTCATTCTCCGACACCCAATAACCGAGCACGTCCGTGTCGTATGTTGGGATAATGGTCACCTCTGGGGAAAAAATAAGATTACTATACTAGTGGTGTATGGCATCGTGCCTTAAGGCAAATTGCTGAAACTTACCGTACCGTACTGAAATAATCGAGAAATATTAAACATATTATTACAAATACTGTAACATTCATTATTTTTGCTATCTTGTTATATCTGAGCAAATCAAATGTAAATCACAAATCATAAATCAATTTATCTCCATTAACAATCGTCATTTCATTTCGAATTCATTTCCAAAAAAATAGTTGTGATTTGCACAAAATTGAAAAAGTGCTCCATATAGTCACAGTCTAAACGCATTTACAAATAATTCTGTGCGACATTTTCACTTATACTGTGCTTTGCTTGGCGGCATTTTTAAATTTTTTAATAGTTTTCACAAAATTGGTAGAAGTGCTCCAGTACAAAAACAGTCTAAACACACTTGGGTAAACATTTGCACCAGAGTGGCGCTTAGACTGTGCTTAGCCTGGGTAATTTTTTTAATTTTTAATCTAAAACTACAAAAATATTTTATGGAAAATAAAAAAAAAAGATTTAATAATTTTTAACTTCCCGTAGGGCAAGTTATAGTAATCGCAAAAAAATCGAAAATGAATTTTTTTATATATCTTTTCGTTTCAGAGGTTTCTGAATATTTTGGCATACCTGAGAAAAAATGTGTTTGTGTGAAAAGTGTGTGCGTGTGCGTGTGTGTGTGTGTTCGGATACAAATTTTCGTCAACGATTTCGGAAACACGGATGAAGCGATTTGAATAATTCAGAAAACATTCGATTCGTATTGATAAGGAGACGTGCTGATTAGATTTTGGCAAAGGCAGGTCTAGCCGTTCCGAAGATATGAGGCAAAAAGTGCCAAAAACGGTAACTCAGTTTTTAAGAGAACGGAGCGTCCGATTTGAATAATTCAAAAAACATTTTACTTGTATTAACAAGGTGAAGAACTGATCAAATTTTCATGAAGGCAGGTCTAGCGGTTTCGAAGATCTACTGAAAAAAGTAAAAAAAAATGCCATTTGGCGGTCAAAAATGATCATTAGACATATGCACATCAAATTATCAGATATTTTATAGAGATTATAACAATAAGTATATTTTTTTTACATTCCTATGGGTTCCGTACCAATGTTTATCCGTTAGACGGCGGCGCGGCGCTTACGCGCTTTGATATTTCGTATCAATGCAGTTAAAGCAGTACGATTGCTTTTCGTAAGTCTTTTTTTCAAAAAAAGTAAATTTTTGTCAAAAAATTATAATTTCTCAAAAATCTAATTTTTTCAGAGTAAATTTTTTTTCAAAAACGTTAATCTTTTTAAAAAAAATAATTTTTGGTACGGGAAGTTCCAGCAATTTGCCTTAAAGCACGATGCCATGCGCCCCACTAGTTTGAATTTTGAATCCAAAATTACAAAAATATTTTATGGAAAATAAAAAAAGATGTAATAATTTTTTATCCCCAAAAGCAATTGTTTTGTCAATACGAGCAGAAAGTTTTTTAGATCATTTAAATCGGACGCTTAGTTCACTCAAAAACTGCCATTTTTGAACATTTAGCTCTGTATCTTCGAAATGGCTGAACCTGTCTTTGCCAAAAACTTAACACCTCTTCTCCCAATAATTATAAATTGAATGTTTTTTAGATCATTCAAATCGGATACTCCGTTCTCTCAAAAACTCGATTTGTATTTTCTGCACTCTTTGCTCCGTATATCCGTAACGGCTGGACCTGCCTTTGCCAAAACCTAATCGGCACATCTCACTATCAATAGGAATCGCATGTTTCTTGAACCATTCAAATCGGTTAATCCGTGCGCTCGAAAACGTGGACCAAAAAATGCGGACATACAAAACACACACACACACACATACACAAAATGTTCAGAAACTTTCAAAACGTTGAGAAATGCAAAAATTCTCATTTTCGATTTTCGGCCTATCACTATAACTACCCTTCGGGAAGTTCAAAATTATTCGTGCACTTACTTAGAAATTATGCATTATCTTACCTAAGTCTTTATCCTCCCACGTTTGTTTGGCCTCTAAAAGCGCGTTATAGACGTCTTTGCTCGGTTCAGTGCCTGAGAACACATAGTACCTGGCTCGAACCCTTTTGAAGAAGTCCACATGACAATAGTATGAATTTCCATGATGAGGTACGTACGATAAATCAATATACACTGGATTTATTTTTTTGCCGCCTTTATGAGGCGATTCTGATCTCCTCCTGATATCCTTCGATAGATTCTTTTCATTTATCAGTTTGATTTTAGCTGTGATATTTTTCTTTTCCTTCTTAGGCGTTGTCTTCATGTTGCTGTCTACTGTCGGAGGTGGTGCAGGACTTGGTAGCCCTAAAGGTTTACCCCATGCTGATAACGGATCGAAGTCCTTGGGTACTTCTTCTTCACCAGAATCTGCCTGGTGTTCTGGTAAAAAGCCGTTTGATTCGGTGCTGTCTTTGGGTTTTGTCGTTACATCTTTGAGTTTAAACTCAGCACTGGCTTCATCTAGTAATTTTCCGTTCAGAAAACCTTCAGCTCCAGGACTTGCAAAACCACTAGGCGAGAACTCGTATTTAGAAGTTATTGCTGACATCAATTCGGTTCCACGCAAATGCCTGTGCTCTTCTAGAGCTTTTTCAAATTCCATATCAGCTTCTTCTAAAAATCTATGTCCTGGTTCCAATATGTCAGTTTCGGTACGTTTCGTTGTGGTTATTGCAATTGGTTCGGTTTTTACAGTCGTCGTAGGAAGTTCTCCATAAAACGACGTGCTCATAGGATCCATTTTTGGTGAAAACTTGGCAGCATCATATTCATCCGACGAGTCCAAATGTTTACGAGTATCAATCATTGCACCTTCGTATCTAAATGAATCTTGGGAATGCGCAATTTGTGAACTAATACTCGCTGGCGATTCTGGAATTTCATCGTCGCTATATAATTTATCATCGTTGCTATCAGACAATGAAATATCTGTTTGCTTGGGCTCATCTGTGATTATAGTTGTCTTAATCACTTCAGTCACAATTACTTGTTGTCCTGTAGCTTTCAAGTCTTCTCTACTAGCACTTAAGGGTGACGTAAACTTTTCCTCATCACTTACATCATCAGGTTTGGGTGAAGATTTACCAGAACTGGGTTTATCCAAATGTTGCCCTAATTCTGGCGTCGATTTACCAGATAAAACAATTTCATCTTTACTCGATGCTAAACCTTTGGGGAACGGTGATGTGGGTTTCGGAGACGAACTCATATCTGGTGTTGGGATACCGGTTGTAGAACTATGTTCCAAGGATGATGTTGCTGATTTTGTGATATTTTCAGAGCTGCCGTGAGTAGAAGCTATGAGGACAGGACTCGATTTTCCTGATGCATCCTTTTCTGGTTGTGATTGATCCATGTGCAAATCTGATTTAATTTCTTCTGATGCAGGCTTTGTGTCATCTTTTATCGCTGGGCTAAGTGGAGCTGTTGGTGGTGTAATTTTACCACCTTTGGTATCATCTAGTTTACATTCTAATTGATCCATATCAGAAGACTTTGGATCCTCAGTATGTTTATCAAGAACGTCAGGTGTAGATTTTCCACTTTTATCATCTCCCACTTTGTCATCATCTTCACATATCTTAGACAAAGCAGCCGAGTCAAACTTCTTATCATCTTCATAATCAGATATTTTGATTTCAGGTGTGGATCGTCCCGATTTTACCGGACTTGACCGTCCAGATGATTCTTTGCCAACAGGTTCATCCTTTTCTATTTCTGTTTCATCATATGTAACTTTAATATCGGGTGTACTGCGACCAGAAATATTTTCGCACAAGATTTCTCTTGGTGGTGAAAGCTGTGTAGGTGATTGTTTTCCATCGACTTTTATTCCAAAGTCGTGGGATGTGTCGATTTTCAAATCTGGCGTGGATTTTCCAGATAAACTTTTGGTTTCAACCAAGTCTTCGTTTGTTTTGTCTTCATCGATTTTAATATCTGGCGTGGTTTTGCCACTTGTTGACCGACTATCAACTTTTATGACATCTAACTCCTTGTCTTCGGCTTGACTTGGTTTTGCTGAATCACTTTGAAGTTTATCATCTAAGTCTTTGCTGGCATCGTCAGTTTTAATCTTTTCATCACTCGTAGTCATTGGAGCTTTTTCAGATTTCTTGATAACACCATCATCTTTTATACTTGATGATTTTTCAAAGAAATCAACTTCATCCTCCTTGGCAAAGTCGAAAGTATCAGGAACAGTGGAAGACTGGACTTTGGCATCTGGTTCTGGTGTCTTTTCCCTGGAGACAGAAGGTGATCCAAAAGGTGATGCAAACTTTTTATCAACATCAGGTATTATTTCTTCTAACAACTTATCGGATTTAAGTACTTCTGCCACGTTTGCTACAATTTTGATAACCTCTTCTTCACTTTTGATCACAAATGGAGAAGACGTTCTTTGAACAGGATCTAAAACTACATTATTTTTATCGGATTCACCATCAAAATCTGGATACTGATTTTTATCATCTGCTACGTAAAATTTACGTTCGTTATCTAGGAATGAGCCGGTGATGTGAGACGCTGGCATTTTTTCTATTTGTTCAGAAATTTCCACAATCACTTTGTTATTTTGTATTGGGGAATCTAAAGTAGTGATATGGGTTTCTCTGAGCTCTGTAGTGTAAGACTTGACTTCGAATGGTTGGAAATCTAAAGGAGCCTTTGAGGTAAAGTCACATTTTTCCACGATTTCTTGCATCAACTTGTCACTCTTGTCCAATTTTTCATTTAGACTGGAATCGAATTTTTCGATATTGTCTTTGTAACTTTCTGAGACGGATTGTAATTTTTCCATGGCGCTTTCTTCTATTTGTTCCACAGTTTGTTCGGCATCTTTCGCTAAATCATTGACAATATCCATTACGTCGTCTTTTAAATCTTCAACACTCCTGGTTAAGTCTTCAGATATATCATTCTTTGACAAATCATCTACCATGCTCTCAATCAAAAGGGGATCTTTAAGATCCGGAAGCGTAATACCATGATCTTTGAATTCTTGTTTACCAAAATCTACAGGCACATCTTCGGGCTTGTCGATAACATCTGCTGATTTTTCATCCTTAATTGCTTCATCTTTCATATCCAATTCAGGTCCTAATTCCTTAATCTTCTTTACAATTATAACTTCTTCAAGAATTTCATGTTTTGACACAACAGGCTCATCAGAAATTTTAACGTCGCCGTTCTGAAGAGGTTTATCTTCTGTAGGTTTCGTGTGGTCATCAACGTCTTTTGGTTCAGATTTTATTAGATTCAGTTTATGGTCATCGCTTTCACTAAGACTTGCCAATTCATCCAATTTCTTCTCAATTTCTACGCCTACTTCTTTTGCCATTTCTTCAGACGATTTGTCTTCCTTTACTGGTGTCGTGGTTGGTGTGGATACTTCAGGAATCGTTGTTTCATCAAGACCTGATACTAAATTATCTAGTGAAGGCTTCTTGTCATCAATTGTAACTGAAGTTTTTTCTTGACTAGGAATCTCTGCTAGTTTTACTTCATCTAAGTCTTTCACAATTTGTGACTCCATATCTGATACAAAGTCGTCTTTGGGTGATGACATGTCGGGCAAAACCTTTTTGCCTGTATCAAGTTTTTGTGGTGCATCAATATCAAGTTTGTCTTCTTTTGTGACCGTGTCTATTGGTGCAGCTTCCTTTTGCAAACTTTCTTTCTGCGAATCTTTTATTTCTTCAGCGGGCTTATCATCAAAAGTTTGTGCCATCACATCACTCTTCAATTTGTCATCCTCAATTCCATGTTCATCTGTTGTTGGTATATCTTTAATTTCATCCTTTTGAACAATATCTTCTTTCTGCAAATCTTCTTTCATTGCCAAATCACTTGGTTTTGATTCAGGAATTGAATCCAAGGACTCTTTTGTAGCTTCGTCAGTTGTTTTGGTCTCAGGCAAAATTTCTGGTAACTTGCCAGTCACTTCATCCTTTTTCTCATCCAATTGATCGATTTTATCTTCTAGCTTGATGCTTTCAGGTAAATTGTCTTTTGTAGCATCCTGGGTAACATCATGCTTTTGATCAAATTCGACTTCTTTATCATCTTTGCTAATTTCTGGTACAATTGCATCTTTTGGAGTAACTTCCTGCTTCTGATCTTTGCTATCATCATGTTTTGCCTCAGGCTCTAGACTTTGTTCTTTTCCTGCGAGATCTTTCACTTCATGTTCATCAATTTTATCTTTTTGGACATCATTTTTGGGTTCATCTTTTATCGTAGACTCTTCCAATTTTTCTACGATATCATCAACCTTTGTGTCAAGCACTTGAGTGCCCTCAAATTTATCACCTGCTTCTAATTCCAATTTTTGAATGTCATCTTTCATGTCGTCTACTTTTGAAACAAAATCTTGTATCTCATCTTTCGTATCCTTTTCTAAAGATTCAATTTTATCTGTGACAGAGTCAATTTTCGTTTGGGTTTCTTCTAATTTGTCAGATGGTAATAATGGCTGAGCTTTGTCATCAGTAATTTTATCTTCTACTGGTTCATCTGATACTAAGGCTTTACTTAGATCAGCAACAGGTAGTTCACAAACTGCTTCAAAAGGTTTTTGTGGTGCTTCTTCTTTAGTATCTGCAGCTTCAATAGTAGTTTCTGGTTCAGAAACTTTTGCTTTGTCATCTACTGCTTCAAGAATATCTGCTGGTTTCTCTTTGCTTTGCTCAGTTTCTGTTTTGATTTCATCTTTCACTTGCTCTAAAAGTCCTGGTTCTTTCAAATCATCTTTATCAAATTTGTCTTCTAATTTGTCCTGATCCTTCTGTTCAGCTTCTTGATTTACTTTTGTATCTGGTGCTTCTTGATCTACTTTTGTATCTGAAGATAATGTTGCTTTGGTAGCTTCAATTATTTCATCAACTGGTGAAGACATATCAGGTATCTTAGGAGCTTCAACCACTTCTGAGACATCTGTTGGTTTAGTGTCTAAAGCAGCAGCAGTTTTGGGAGCTTCAATAACTTCATCGATTGGAGAAGACATATCTGGTACTTTTGGTAATCCTGTCACTTCATCTACTTTGACATCTGGCTGTGCATCTAATGGAGCAGCAGTTTTAGGAGCTTCGATGATTTCATCAATCGGCGATGACATATCTGGAATTTTTGCTGCACCAACCTTAGTTTCTGGTTGCGATTCTAAAACAACTGTTGATTTAGGAGCATCAATGACCTCGTCAACTGGTGAAGACATATCTGGTACTTTTGGTAATCCTGTAATTCCATCTACTTTGACTTCTGGCTGGGCATCTAAAGGAGCTGCTGATTTAGGAGCTTCGATGATTTCATCAATGGGCGAAGACATATCTGGTACTTTTGGTAATCCTGTAATTTCATCTAATTTAACTTCTGGCTGAGCATCTAATGAAGCTGCCGATTTAGGAGCTTCAATAATTTCATCAATGGGCGAAGACATATCTGGTACTTTCGGTAATCCAGTTACTACATCTTCTTTAACTTCTGGTTGTACATCTAATGGTGCTGTTGATTTAGGAGCTTCGATGATTTCATCAATGGGCGAAGACATATCTGGAATTTTTGCTGCATCAACCTTAGTTTCTGGTTGTGATTCTAAAACAATTGTTGATTTCGGAGCATCAATGACCTCATCAACCGGTGAAGACATATCTGGTACTTTCGGTACATCGAGTTTTTCTTCAAGTTTATCGTCAATTTTTGCATCTACTGATGTCAACAATATCGTCCAACGGTGAAGACATATCTGGAATTTTAAAGCCAGCAACATTTTGATCTACTAAAGTTCCATCAATGGGTTTTTGATCCACCGGTGAAGACATATCTGGAACTTTAAAGCCATCGACTTTTTGATCTACTGATGTACCATCAAGTGTTTTGTTAAATTCATCAGGAATAAACTGATCTGTAGTAACGTCTTTTGGTGCTTCAACTTCCTCTACAACTGCTGTGTTATCTTTATCAACAATCGTTTCAATTGGTTTAACCGCATCGTTTGATTTCACTTCAACTGTATTATCAAGTTTATCGTCCACCTGGTCTAGTTTTTCTTGCTCAGCCTCGTCTTTATCTTTTTCATCCGAATAACGTCTCTTAAGTGGTTTGTCTTCATGCACACCTTCATCCTTTTTCTTTTTAGAACCCGGAAAATCATCATACATTCCATAATCAACTTCCTCATGCATCGGCAAATCGGCGACTTCGTCTGGTGTTTTGACAACGTCTCGTAAATGACCATTATGAGGGAATACTTGAACATCGCCCTTGTCTTCCAGAGGTTCAAGATTTGTTGGCAAGGTGCTTGGGACAGCTTCGACTTCTTTGGTTTCTTCCTTGATGTATTTTTCCTCGATGACTTGGTCTTCTTTTATTTCGTCCAAGGGAATACGTTCGTCTTCGGGTAATGTTGGGGCTGTCGTTGCTCCGGATTCGATGGTTGTGGATATTTTTTCATCCGGTTGGCTTTCTTGTAAGTGCTCTTTTTGGATTTCTTCTGGTTGTAAATCTTCTGTGAGTTTAGATTCTTCTTTGTCGTCAATTTTTTTGCTACTTGTGATGTCAAGTTTGTCATCAGGGCTCACACTTATTTGTTCCTTGGCGGGTTCTTCGACAACAACTGCTTGTTCATGATCGTCTTTGGGTACTTCAATATCTTTTGGTTCAACAGGAACAACTTCTGGTTCAGCTGCATCGACGTGTTTAGCTTCTGGTGAAGCCGAAGGCAAGTCTTTCAGGACTTCCTTTTCAGGTAAAGTATCCTCCACAACTTTAGTTTCAACTACAGGCTCAGCCAATGAGTCTTTATCAATTTGTTCTTCAACAGTAAGCTGCTCAGTATCTTCAACAGTATCTTTAACATCATCATCTTGTTTCACGTCTTCAGATGCATTCTCCAAACTTTCTCTACGTTTCTTCTCCGACTCTTCAGAATCGCGTTGGTGCTTCTGAATTTCCTCTTCCTTCGTCAAACTTTCTTGTTCGTTTATCGAATCTTCCGTGAACTGCTCAATTTCTTCTTTTTCAATAATAATATACTCCTCATCCTCTTCGACGTCTGTAGTGTTAACCTTAGAGTCATCTGTGACTTTACTTATCTCAGCATCGGAATGATCAATTTTGGCTTCGGCATCATTGTCACGTTGGAAAACAGCCTCAATTTCTCGTACAACCTCTTGTTCTTCCTTCAAATCTTCCAATTCTTGCAACTTGGCTTCATCCAACGGCACTGCTGACAAACCTTGTACTAATTTTCTTGTGGTTTCTTGATCGACACTTGGAGTGGATACAGGACTAGATTCAGTAGTACTTTCTTTTTCTTGTTTACCAGGTGCAATAACACCGTCTTTATCAGATTTGACTGATGCTGATGGTGTAGACTTTGCGGATTTTGCTGGACTTCCTGTGGTTTTGATAACGCTGGATGGTGAAGCTGCTTTTGGTCTCCTTGAAATTGGTTTGCGTTCAACTTTGACTGCTTCTTTTTTCTCAATAGGTTTCTTTTCCACTGGCTCTTTCTTCGTGGATTTAATTTTAGATTCGACGACTTTACGATTGTTGGCTTCCTTAGCACTTTTAGCAGGTGGAGCTGTGGAAGTGACTTTTGATGGTACTCTAGGAGCTGGTTTGGTCTTGGCTATTTCTTTATCTTTAGCAACTCCGTTTAATACAGGCTTGCCGTTTTCTACAGTCTTCTTGGGGGTTGTTGGTGTCGATTTAACAGGTTCTGGCTTCTTTTCGACTTTAGGAGCTAGTGGTTTTCTATCTATGGATTTAGCAGTCTTGGTTTCAGTTCTAGGTTTGGGAGCAGCTTTCGTGTCTATTTTAGATTTATGTTCAATCTTTGGTTTAGGTTTGGGTTGTTTAGTATCAGTCTCATCTTTATTATCTTTCTTACTAGTTACCTTATCACTTTCATTCACTTTATCAGCGTCATTAACTTTCGTCAGTTCGATCTTCTTGGCTTCAGGTTTTTTAATGGGTTTAGGTTTAGAATTCATATTAGAAATTTTATGTAGTTTAATTTCCTCTTTAACTTCTGCCGGACTGCTAGCATCTAACTGTTTGTTAGCATCTATATCATTCTCAGATTTTTTAATATCATCAGCAATTTTATTGTCTTTTTCGATAAGTTTAGATTTCAGCGGCGCTTCTGGAATGATTTTATCTATCAAAGGTGCTGCAGACTTTATTTTTTGTTTAGCCAAACCTATTATCGATCCGGCAGGACTTAAAGATTTGGCACTACATACTGGATATTTCATGAATTCCAAGTGTTTGATTTTATCCAGACCTTCAAATATTTTATGTTCTGGTGTACTACCAGGGAATAAAATTCTGGTTATGTTGTCAGCAGGATTTGCAGGTTTCCATACGAGCAACGCGCAAATGGAAATCAAATTCTGGATAGGAAAACTGAATTCTTTGGCATCTTTTTTAGGAGCAAATAATTTAGAATCGTTGTTGTTCCACTTTGAGAGAAATTCTCTGACTTCTTTGGAATCCTTTGAGGGACTTAGAACGTACATATCGAGAGTACCTGGATAAAAATTAAATCATAAATAAATTTCCACTTCAATACCATGATTTAAGGAGGTATTCTAGTGTAGAGCGATGAATTTTAGGTCATTTTTAAAGTGTCGTAAAAGAAAGCAATGAATGTTTTTACTATCCATTTTTTTACCACTTGTTTATTAATATTATTAAAATACAAAACAAAAATTAAAAACTAAAAAAGTTGAAGAGTGTAAAAACTGGCAGCTGATAAAGTGGTCTCAAAAAATTGACATGATTTCAGCCCTCCTAGCCATCGGAAATGCAAAAAATTAAGGGGCACAACTAGTGTGAAATTTTCAAAAAATCGAATTTTCAATTTTTCCATAAATCGATAGGTTATACCTTTACAAATAACATACCGAAATTTTAAATTGATATCTTAAATAGTTTTTGAGTCACAGCCATTTAAAGAGTATATATGTAGTATATAGTATAACGATCATTTAATCTTTAAACGCGTTTTTCTCGAAACAGCATTTTCCGAATTTGCTGCAGCGATTACACAAAAACAAATGATCCGATCACTATCAATTTTTTTTTACATGTTCTATATATAGTTCTCCATAAAATAAACTATCGATTTTTTGATCGGATCAAAAATCGAATTTTGGCAGTCCAAAAACGACCAAAATTTTGGGTAAAATTCAACTCTTTTTTAAAAAACGCCGTCATTTTATCAATTTTTGATTTTTTTTCTTCATCGTAGTTCATTTTACAGACAATATTATCTAGTTTAACAAGATTTTTTTTGTTTAAATTTCATCCACGTAGTAGGCCGAATCACTGCAGCAAAGAAGGACCTTTTTTTGTAGCGCCGTTGGAATTCGACGATAACTTAAAAAGTATTTAATTTTTTTCTTCAAAAATTTTACTATGAATTCTTAAAACATGTATAAATATATTCCTAAAATTTTGAAATGATTGATAAAGCAGTTTTTTAATATAAATTCTCAAAAATCACCTTTTTTAAGGCGGTTACACTAGTTGTGCCCCTTAATCTACAATGATGTCGCAATCGCCCGAACTAACGATGAGTAAAAAATTTTTTTTTACAAATTGGCGACTGTTTGAAAAAAAAGTGTTTTTTTACTGTTTTTTGAGTTTCTCGAATTTTTTAAAAATAGTAAAAATTGGAATTTGGGGATAATCCTAGTTCGGGCTATAGATAGGTCTATAAACAAGACTCCCTGAACATCTCAAGTGAATCGGTCGAAAAACCCGAGAAATCGTGTCAACAGTACTGAAAAAGTCTGTTCTGATAAAAAACGCATTTAAAATTTTGCGTGAAGCCGAACCAGTATGGGGACCGAGTCTGTAAAATGCCTATATTTCCGAAAATAATTCAAATTTTCAAAAACCTTCTTATACTTGTTTCTACAGCTAGTTTGATTAAATTAACGCAGATTAAATGTAAATTAAATTGATAATATAAATGTACTTTAGTTAGCATGTATATATGTGTATATGTGTGTATATATATATGTATGTATATTATATATATATATATATATATATATATAACAAATGTATTCTGAGTGGATAAATAGATATTGGTTTGGAGGTGTGAGCGGGCAACACTCATTTTTGCACTAATTTGTTAAATAAAGATTTAATAATTTTTATCTCATCATCAGTGTGTTATAATTTAAAATTTAAAATATGGAAACCTAAATTAGCATTATGTGTTATCCGTTACAAGTCGTTCGATATACTGTCTTCTGCCCCACCTACGATCGTACGAACGTTAGATAGTTGAACTTTGAAAATATGAAATAAAAAAAATCGTTTTTTTTAATTTCTACAATAGAATACCCCATTAAGAGTATAGTTTATCTTACCATGTCCAACTTTATGGTACAAGTTAATAGGTTCCGAGTCTTTGTAACAAGCTTGAGGTTTCAAATTCAAGCATTTCAAATCAGTCAAAATATTCTGGCCTTGCTCCAACAAATCCAACATCAACGGATCGCGGTCTTTGTCGCCATCAGGGCTTTGTAGGACTTTTTTTGTCCTGCAGGTTGCAGAAGAAATGTCCGATCTGAGGGTAGACTAGTGCTGATTTTTTTCTATTGATGACGGAAGACAAGCCGAGGGCATTTGAATTATTTAGCCTAGTCATCAGAACGGCGTCGAGGCGATCCAGGTGACGGGCGAAGTCCCAGAAGCAAGCTTTTCGGGCAAAACCACCATCGACTGAAAAAAATTAAAAAAAATGTTTAGGACAGATATATATATATATATATATGTATATATATACATATGTATATATATATATACTAGCTGACCCGGCAAACGTTGTTTTGCTAAGTACGGTATATTCTAAACAATTTCTAGAGAATCAAAAATATTAATACTTTAAGTGTATAAGGATGTGTTGTTTGAATGCTATATACAATGAGGTATTATAAAAACAATAAACCCCATTAGCTTGTCTATATTTTGTCAACTGAAAGTTTTATCCACTTTCTATAGAAAACATGGCATAATCAAATCCAAGTCTTTTTTGGTCTTTCGACTTATTGATTACGTTTCAAGTTTTTCAGATTCTTTTTGGATTCTGGATTTTCTTTATACCACTGAGCTTATACAAAATTTTCAAATTTCTGCGAGGAGAGATAGAAAATGAATTAAGTATTTCTTCTTTGACCTGCTTTTTGAAAAGTTTCAAGTAACATTCGATGAATTAAAGTAAATTTAATAAAAAGTATATATGTAGAGCAGGGCGAGGCACTAAGGTCCAATTTGACTTTGAGGAAATATTATAAAAAATTATATTATAAAAGTCAAACCAATTATATCACAACAAGTAACACTTTTCAAACAAACAATTATCTGACTACGTTCAGTAAAACTGCCAGCTACTTCATCATTGTAGAAATGTGCTTTTTTGATGTCTTTCAAAAATTTGTTATCTAGACCTTTTTACCCCATATACGGGGTAACTTGGAACGGCCAGGTGGCAAACAGGTTTAATGTCTTATTTTAATTTTAATGGTATTTTACAAAACAATTACATTTTTAACTAATGCTATAAAACTACCAAAGAAAATACTTTACATATGGATTTTCAAAGATTACGATTTATCTCCTGATAGCACTGATAGCAAAGTCATGAGAATCAAGGTTATAGCTGGTTATACATCTTTTTTCCTCTATTTTCAAATATTGTTGTTAAACAATGCTTAACATAACTGGTTTTTGACACATCGCTGGTGGACCTTTTTAACCTCGGACCTTCATATATTACTATCCATTCTTCGATAAATTGTGGGAAATTATAACTGGGAAAATGTTATTCGACAAAATGTCCCTTTGATCGATACCAAATTTAGGTTCGAAATTTAAGTAACATAAATAAAAAATAATATAACCTAGAAAATGTTTTATAAATACCAATGAGTATATAATTATACAAATGAGATTTTTCATAACACCGTGTTTGAGAAAAATATTATTTGCAAAAAAAGAGTGCTACAACGTCAAAAAGTGAATTTTCATATTAACATTTCAAAAAAGTTGATATTTTGAGTTTCTAGTAACACTTGTGGCCCGTTTACTAACGTTTTTGTGTATAAATAAAACTACAAACAAAACTACTTACTACAACTTAATCATAATTAAGTAATATTCAGGTAAAACATCCTATTAAACGTAATTGAACATCATCTGTCAAAAACGTTTGACTTTTGACGTATTAGCCACCGTCCATAGTTTTATTTAAATTAAGCTTCTACAAAAATTTTCAAATTAAAAATGTGAAGTTTGTACGCGATTTTGAAATAATATCTCACCTTTCCAACAACCTACTGATTAGCACGAATTTTTCAGGACTGAGACTGAATGGCCAAATCGGTTTAGCCGTTTTCGAGTTTTGGCGGATCATTTTATCGAGCTCCATTTTTATATATAAGAAGATATATATATATATATATATATATATATATATATAAAACTTACCCAACATATTAAAGCCATTGATTCCAAAAAGTGCAGCATCACCTTGTCCTCCAGGGAAAACATACAAAGTCGGATGACTAAACCGAATATTTCCAACCACATCCGAAGATTCGAGCAAAGTGTGCAACTCCGTCGGAATCAACATGGGCGACAGATAATCTAAGTAAACAATAACACATCATTTAAGGAGCACAACTATTAGTGTGAAATTTTCAAAAAATCGATTTTTCAATTTTTCCATATTTCGATAGCTTATACCTTTAAAAATAACATACTAAAATTTTAAATCGATATCGTAAAAAATTTTTGAGTCACAGCCATTTAAAAAGTATATATATAGTATATAGTATAACGATCATTTAATCTTTAAACGCGTTTTTCTCGAAACAGCATTTTTCGAATTTGCTGCAGCGATTACTCAAAAACAAATGATCCGATCACTATTAATTTTTTTTTTTACATTTTCTATATATAGTTCTCCATAAAATGAACTATCGATTATTTGATCGGATCTAAAATCGAATTTTGGCAGTCCAAAAAACGAACCAAAATTTGGGGTAAAATTCGACTTTTTTTAAAAAAAAAACGTCCGTCATTTGTCAATTTTTTGATTTTTTCTTTATCGTATTTCATTTACAGACAATAATATTTAGTTTAACGAGATTTTTTTTTTAAATTTCATCCGTAAGGTCCGGAATCACTGCAGCAGTGAAGGGCCTTTTTTTTTCGCGCCGTTGGAGATCGTCGATAACTTAAAAAATAATTATTTTTTTCTTCAAAAATTTTACTATGTATTCTTAAAACATGTATAAATATATTCCTAAAATTTCGAAATGATTGATAAAATATTGTTTTTTTAATATAAATTCCTAAAATTCACCTTTTTTAGGCGGTTACACTAGTTGTGCCCCTTAAATAAATTATTCAAGAAAGAAATAAATTTATTATATATTACCAATAAATGCATTGATTTTGGCGCTGCCGCTGGTTAGAACATCATTAGGGTTGACCCTTAGTTGACAACCCTTAGCAAAGGGTTTATCGGAGAGACTGCTCCAGCCGCCTGCAGAAGCGCAGTGCAAATCGACGCTGACAGTATCGGGGTAGGCCCGGAGCACCCTTTGCACATCTCCGTCTTGGAAAGCCTCGGAAAAATCGCTTAACGAGAAAGTACCATCCTGGAAATTAAAATAATAAATAATTTTGGAAATATTATATTCAATTTATAAATATACTAGCTGACCCGGCAAACGTTGTTTTGCTAAGTAAGATATATTCTAAACAATTTCTGGAGAATCAAAACTATTAATACTTTAAGTTATAAGGATGTGTTGTTCGAATGCTATATACAATGAGGTATTATAAAAATAATAAACCCCATTAGTTTGTCTATATTTTGTCAATACAATCGAACTGGAAGTTTTATACACTTCCTATAGGAAACATGGTATAATCCAATCCAAGTCTTTTTTTGGTATTTCGACTTATTGATTACGTTTTAAGCTTTTCAGATTCTTTGGGATTCTGGATTTGAGCCACAGCAACGCGTGGCCGGGCTAGCTAGTATATTTATATATTAGAATGAAAAACGGGATAAAAAGTATCCTATATGTTTCTTCTGGCTCTAAACTACTCTGCCAATTTTCGTTTCAAGTTCGTGAGTTATAAGTGTTGCTACTTAAGCGATCCTCTTTTATATACATAGATTAGGTTGGTCCTTAATATGGATATTTTTGAATTTTTTGCTCCCAGGGGCTCAAATGCTTCCAAATTGATAAAAAACAAATCTCTCAAAGTTTTAGGTCATAATATTAACTATAAGATAGTCTGCAATCCAAAAAAAGTTTCTTGGTTTTTCTTCTTAAGTAAATACTTATTTTAAAAATACATCATTTTTTTGTTGTAATTTTTTTAGTCTGATCAAATAAGCAAAAAACAATGTTATTCTCAAAATTTTTGATACACTTTTCGCTAAGTATAACATTCTAAAAACAAATGGAATTTTACTCATGTTATTTCCATAAGAAACTTGGGGAGTGCGTTTCAGAGGAGTTTTTTTTTATCATTTTGGAAGCTTTTGAGCTGGGGGCACAAATATCCACATTAAGGACCACCCTAATATATTATATATACATAAATATAAATTTCATATATAAAATGAATCGCAAAATGTGTTGGTAAGCGCATAACTCACAACGCCTGAAACATTTGGCCAATCTTTTTTTAGAATGTTTGTTGAAGTCCAAGGATGGTTCTTACGGCGAGGAAAAATCGAATAATTGTCGGGAAAATGCTTAAAATAACCCTTTTTTTTCCAGACGAACGTTTTCTAACTAAAATCGATAGTAGAATCAATTTGAGCTTAATTGCTATTATATAAAGTTCATATTAAA